CGAACAAAGTGGATATCAATTTCAATGTGCTTAGTCCGCTGATGTTGAATTGGATCAAGAGATAGATAAATAGCACTGAGCTTATCACAATAAAGCACAGGTGGAGAGAAAAGAATAAAGGAAAATGATGTGTGCACACCCGGATTCAACACCCGGGTGTGCACACCCCGCATAAAATAAAAAAAAAAGGGATTTAGGTGCACACCATTTTTTTTTTTTATATGATGTGTGCACACTCAGGTGTTGGATCCGGGTGTGCACCAATCATGATCCAAGAGTAAAACATAACTCAGCCAACAATTGCCGAACCCAAACTACTTCAGCAACAGCATTAGCCATAGCATGATACTTTGCCTCTACACTAGAATGAGTGATTGTATGTTGTTTATTAGAAGACCAGGAGATAGGAGATCTACAAAAAAAAAAAAACAATAGCCAGAGGTAGAGCAGCGAGTACCTAACCATCGAGACTTGTAATGCTTGTGGAGCACTTGGATTCACAAAAGCAATATTGTTGAAGGATTTCTCCCACTGCGGAGTTGCGTCTTCTGCTAATAGTAAAGACTGGGGTTCCAAAAATGAAGAAAAAGGAGCCTTTGTGGAATGGTCCTTTTGGAGATATTATATTCAGCGTCCAATCCACAAATAGCTTGCATAACAATTTCTCTATCAATCAAAGATTCTCCAACACCATGCATTTTATTAGCCACTTTCTTGACATATAGCAAATAACTAATCATTGACTGTCCAGGTTGTTTATGAAGAGAAATAAATTCTTATTTCACATACATCTTTCGTGCTACTAATTGATTTTGATAAGAAATTTGAATATCATCCCAAGCATCCTTAGTTGAAAAAGTCTTACCTAGTTGAATTATCATCTGTAATACCTTAGTAGAAATAGTAGCATGAATCCAGGACAAGATCTGAAAATCAATTTGCATCCAAGCTTCAAAATTTGGACTTGTAGTTAGCGAACAAGGACTAGTGCCATCAATATGCCTATACACTTCCTTGCTCTTAAAGACAGGAATCATCAATTCTTTCCAAATAACATAATTTTCATGCATCAGTGTCTCAGGGACAAAAGTTTTGATATTGGACACAGTGAAAACAGGATGTGAGAAAATAGAGGTAGTATGAGGATGGGTAGGATATATAGTATTAGGGCTTGAAAAGGTGGGAGTTTTGACAGTAGAAAGAGATGGTATTATTGGGAAATTAGTGGTGGTATTTGACAAAGGACTAGAAGAAATAGGAATGGAAGAAAACAAGGAAGATATTTGTTCAGATGAAGACAAAGCCATAACAGAGAGTAGGAATAAGAATAAAGTAAGGAAGAAGACAAGAAAGAAAACCTTAGATTAAAGACTTGGTGTCGGATGGTGGCTCTGATACCATGAAGCCGTGAATGATTCTCATCACATTAACAAAGTAGGGTTACAGTATTTTAATATGTATATACAAGTAAATTACATATCTACCCTTGAATATAATACACTATCCTGCGCACCTGTTTCCTCCTTCGACCTTGAGACTGGACTTTGTGCTTGAGAAGCTCATAAGCATACTCATCGAGAGCATCCACAGCTTCATAAGCTAGCTAGATCACTGATTACTGTAACCAAATACTTACAGCTTGATTGCTTTCTTGCCTCTCTTCATCAGTAGGTTGGGGAACTCCTTGGGTGAAAATTAGCGTTTAGGCACGCTCTTGCTTTTGAGATGGAAAAATCTCATATTGATTTTCTAACAAAGAAATATGTAGATTATTATTATTATTATTATTTTAAACTAAGCCCCTTGACATTCAAAAATCACATTGAATCTGATTAATCAAGAGTGAGCCATGTCAGATCTCACAAGGGAACACTTTTCCAACACTTGTTTCTCTATTTAAAATATTCAAACTCGAGATCTTATTTAAAGGTAACTAAATTATTTTCATTCAAATAAACAAGTTGTTAGCACATGCAGATTAAATACTAAGAGGATTACTTTATCTATTGTTAATTAATTTTACAGTAAACACAAATTTTGTGTAGAAACTTATATACCCAATATTCATAAGATATTAGAGCCTAAAATCCGCTCTTGAAAAACTTGTTATTAACCCATCTTATAGAATTTGAGGATATTAGAGCCTAAAATTCGATTCCTCATGGAGATGGATGGCTCACCATGTAGTACTAATTTACATTGAATCCAGTTCTTCAAATATTTTACTGAATCACTATAAATAAGACTGTCAATGTGCATACTCATAGAATTACTATCCTAGTTGGATCTCAATATGATTTTGGGGCAATGGTTATAGTCATCTACTCAACAATTTAATTTATTTTTATTTTTTATATTTTTGGTCAGTATTTCTAGCCAGCTTTCTCAAGATTATTTCTTTAAGTGATTTTAAAGGTGCACCCCTAAATTGATGTATTACATCTGTTTATTGCATTTAAGAAAATTAGTTTCATTTGATGTTAGACCGAAATCTTTAACCTTGTAGCTGATCGAGCTACAATTTTATTTTCATTATAGTTGGATTTAGATCCAAATTGTCATTGTTAATAAAGTTCATGGGTCATATTGCTGGAATAGCCGTGCTGGTATTCCTTTTTAATAAAAAGCATGTAAAAATTTTTCTTAATGTGCATCAAATATGAAGTTTGCCTTTTGTGTTCACACATCCTCCCTCGCCTGAAACCGATTCCAAGAGTTTGCTTCATACCTCTATTCTGAATGTTGTTTAATACTG